AAAATTAATTCCATTAAATCAGTTTTTTTTTTTCTCTGTACCAAAAAACCCATAAATGCTGACTGTGTTATTTCTTCTTGATTATCTTAATGAATGTAAGAGTTTGCTATTTTATTACTATTCTTCTGTCAAATAGCCATTGACTATATTATCAGCAGCAGACTAATGGAAAAGATACATAGAAAAATCTGTAAGGTTTTGATACAATCCCAAATACCCGTTCTTCTTTGCATTCTTCACCTTCTCTGTGATAGGTCCGAGGATTAAAACTCAATTCTTGTGCTTGCACCGTGTTTGAGGATGAGACACTGAGTGCTGCAGGGATAGGATCTCCCCATTCCCACCGTAACGTGGGGAGGTCACAAGCCAGAGGAGCAAAGGACCAGCCAAATCCTGGTCAGAGGCTGAGCTGGAGACGCCCTGGGATATGTTATTCCAACATGCAATGCAAGGTTACAGCCAGGAAGACGGAAAGGAGTACCTTTCCAACCAGGAGAAGAACAGACTAGGACAGGATCAGGGGGCCTGAGATCAATCAGTCACGTTTATATTGTGTTTATATTGTTATTTAGACAAACATTTCCTGGCTCAGAGTGTTCAGGCTGGCACAGGGGAAGTGCAGCCAGAAAGAACAAGCCGAACGAGGCAGACTCAGACCCTGGAACTGTCCAGCTTCACAAGGAGGTAATATTTGCGAGGCTGGATTTGGAATGTGAATCTGCACTGCCATCTGCAGAGAGCAGGATGGCAAATTAATGGGCCATCAGCGTAGCAGCAGTTAAAGTGCTAAAGTGCGAATAGTGGGATGCAGGGTTGGAATCAGGGTGGAAGGAAGAAGGGATGTATGTGTCATGACACCTTTGTCACAGCTGACGTTCTGCACGATGCACGGCGTGTCTCAGGAACACATTTTATACTCGATTTCTTAAATGCTGGTTTTTTTCTTTTAGGAGGAAAACTGATACCCTTCTGTTCCTCCCACATCCTCCCCACACCGTTTGCAGCTGGAGGCACCGGGGTTGTGCCGTGCACTTGCTGTGCCCAGGAGCTCCCTGGAAACCTCTGCTGTCCGAGGGGCTTGGCCACAGCAGTGCAGCAGAACTGCTCCTAAACACCATCACAGGGAATAAACCCAACAGGTCCCGAGGTGTCTGTGTCAGGGACCACTCGCAGGCCTGACTTTGCTGTGGTTTATCTCCCCTCACGCCGAGGGATCGGCTGCAGCACATCCCACGTTTCAGCCGAACTCTGTGTCCCTTTCCCCCCTGAGACCCCGTGCCACAGGAACGGGGTGTGAGGCAACACGATCAGCAATAAATGATTTATCTGAGTGTTTCTTATAGAACAAAAGATTCATCCCCTCACTTCATTCCCAGTACATGCTGTGTTCCCTCAGGAAACACCTTCCAGGTGAGGAGTGACCAGCCCACCCTGTTCCTGCCCCAGTGTCCCAACACATGGACATGGAGCTGCTGGAGAGAGTCCAGAGAGGCCCCGGAGCTGCTCCCAGGGCTGGAGCCCCTCTGCTCTGGAGCCAGGCTGGCAGAGCTGGGAGAGCTCTCTGGAGAAGAGAGCTCTGCTGGGAGAGCCAGGCTGGAGAAGGGGCTTTCAGGCTCCCTGAGAGCCCCTTGCAGGGCGTAATGGGGCTCCAGGAGAGCTGGACAGGGACTGGGGACAAGGGATGGAGGGACAGGACACAGAGAATGGCTTCCCATTGCCACAAGGCAGGGATAGATGGGAGATCGGGAAGGAATTGTTGGCTGGGAGGGTGGGCAGGCCCTGGCACAGGTTGCCCAGAGAAGCTGTGGCTGCCCCTGGATCCCTGGAAGTGTCCCAGGCCAGGTTGGATGTGACTTGGAGCAACCTGGGCTGGTGGAAGGTGTCTCTGCCCATGGCAGGGGGTTGGACTGGATAAGCTTTAGCGTCCTTTAACGTCCTTTAACGTGCCCACCGTTCCTCACTGTCCCCTCGTCCCCTCCCGCCCGTCCCGGGCTGTGACGGCCCCACAGCCCGGCCCGCCCTCAGGGCACGGCGGGGTCGCGCTCTCGCGAGAGCTGCGCGGGCCCGTCTCGCGAGAGGGGCGGGCGGGGCGCCGCGGTGGCGGCGGAGCCGGGCGGGCTCTGCTCGGTCCCTGCTCGGTCCGTGCCCGCTCCCTGCTCGGTCCCTCCCGGCCCGGCCGGCACCGGCACCGCCACCGGCACCGCCACCGGCACCGCCACCGCCACCGGCACCGCCCGCTCCGCTCCGCGCCCCTCGGGCACAGCGCCGGCCTCGCCGGCTCCCCTTCCCCGCCGCCCTCAGCGCCCCCCCCGCCGGGGTCTCCCCTTTGCCCCTCGCCCCCGGTCCCCCCAGGGCCCCGCGCGGCCCCCCCGTGCCCGGACGCCGCCGCCCCCTCGGCCTCCCCCATGGTGGGGTTCGGCGCGAACCGCCGGGGCGGCCGCCTGCCCTCGCTGGTGCTGGTGGCGCTGCTGGCCGTGATCGCCGTGCTCGCCTTCCACTGCTGGAACGCGGCGTCCCGCCAGGCCCTGCTGCGGGAGGAGCTGGCCGAGCTGCAGAGCCAGGCCCAGCGCACCGAGGTGGCGCGGGGCCGCCTGGAGCGCCGCAACTCCGACCTGCTGGGCAAGGTGGACTCGCACAGGAAGCAGCTGGAGCAGAAGGAGGCGGACTACAGCCAGCTGAGCAGCCAGCTGCAGGCCAGGGACGGCCAGGTGAAGCGCTGCGAGGACGGCAAGGTAAGAGGGGGGGGTCCCCGCTGCCCTGCGGGCGGCTCTGATAGTCCTCGCCCGTCCCAGGCGTCCCCGCAGCCTCTGCTCCTGAAGGGTGAATCGGCGCCCCGAGGCGCTCGCCTGGTGCTGTGGGACAGCTGCAGTGTGCTCGGGTTTCTGCAAACACCCCCGGAGCCGGCTGGAAACCTCCAGTGTGTGCGCGAACAATGGACACCCCCCGAGCTCCCTCTTTCCCATAAGGCTGGTTTAAGTTTGCTTGTTGTTTTTTGAGCTTTCTGTCTTTGCTGCGGTTATTTGCTCTTTTGTGATCAGTGGGGAAAAAAACCCAAAAACCAGACAGAACCGTAGAGCTACAGTTTCAAGGGAAATGAAACCCGTGTGCTTTTCCGTGGCACCCTGAGCTTGCCTCTCGGAATGCCTGGCACAGCACACTCTGATTTTTATGCTGCCAGCGTGTACTTGGGGAAAAAAATCCTGCTGCTGACATAACATGTCATTTTGCTTGGCTTGGAGCAGCCAAGCTCGTACAAAACTGAGCTGGTCCTTTCGGTGGGGGTGGCCTGGGGATCTCTTTGTTGTGCAGGGTGAGCGAGTGGCTCGACTTTCACTGTTCCTCTTTCATAACCATCCCCGGAGCTTCCCCGGGCTCAGCACACGAGTTCTCCTGCTCCGGGTGAGTGTGGGGTATATTTGCATGCAGGTCATCTCTCTGCTCCTTGAACACTATTCTCACAGTGGGATTTATGGAAATGCCACACTCTCAGGGTGTTGTTTCTCAGGGGCGACAATTCTAACCTTTTTTTAAAAAAAACCCCACCTTTTAAGTGACTGTGTTCAAGTGACTGTACTTCTCTGAGAGAATAAAGCTTTGTTTTAGAGAATAAAGATCTGTCACCAAGAATTAGTAGGAGATATAAAGTGTCCAACCAAAAAAGACTTGACAATTTTTTTTTTTGTCTCAAAGCAGGACCTAATCTATTTGACTAAACTGCTTTTTACCAGTGATCATAGTCCATTTATGAAATGCAGGAGCTCAAATAAAACCCCAGCACTGGTAATTCCCAGGGTGCCAAGTGAGCACAACAAATCCAGGCTTATTTAATAGAAAACTCGTTTGAAAGATGCTGCCCTGGTGGTTCTCAGTGTCAGTTCTGCTTTGTGCTCCTTTGTCCGTAGCTGAGGTTCTTTGCCTTGTGGTCACATAAATCAAGTGCCTTTCCCAGTGCCGAGGCAACTCCAGTCTCTGCAGCAGCTTCCCCTTGACTCAGGGATCTCTGGAGTGAAGCCCAAACTCTTGGCTCTCCCCTCCTTCCCTGGATGTGGAATGAGCTGGGATATGTTTGCTCTTGGGAGCAAAGGTGGGACCATGACCTTGGTGTCTTGTGTTTAGAAAGAAAGAGAAGAAACTTGAGTTCTTGGGAATTCTGCTCTGTCACCCTGTGATGAGCTCCTTGATGGGCCTTGGAACAAACCAGGAGCTCTCTTTTGGAGCTCCCTGGGAGAGGCAAGCAGGGGTAGTGCCTGCCTGGAGCTTGGGCAGGCGCTGCATGCCCAGGTAGCATCAGCCTCCTGCGTATTCCGTGGGGTTTTGTAGAATACTGTTAGGATATATATTTTTTCCATAGTTTCCCAGTTCCACACCAGCTGCTGGCCTGGTCAGGGGTGGAACACAGCCTTGCCCCTCCCTGCTGCCCAGCAATGCTTGGGATGAAGCTGTTGGGTCAAACACCCCTGGGAGCAGCTGGGTCTGTTTGTTGCCAAAACTCGCTGATAACCCCCCAGACTGCAAAGCTGCCCCTTCACAGCAGCGACTGGAGTTGTGTGACAAGACTTACAGCTCAGCCAGCGCTGGTGGGTTTTGCTGTGCAGGGCTCACTGGGCTGCAGGGGGTTTATTTTCTCCATCCCAGAGGAGCCCGTGAGAGCTCTGAGCACTACAAACAGGTCTAGACTGAAGGAGGACGTGGCTCAGGAGGAGCTGGACCCGCGCCATGGCTCGTGGAATTTGCATGTGTAGGTGGAACAGATCCCATGAATCATAAAAAAGCTTCTTCCCTTTCTGTCCTTCAGATGAGGGACATTTGCTGTCAGCTGAGCTGGATATAAATTCTGTCACTTCTCTCTGAAACTCAGAATCACCAAAATGAAAGATTGTGTGGCAAAACTGTTGCACGTTCCCATCCAGCTCCTGCTCACAGGCCAGGCTGCGTGGTTATGGGATGAGCAGGAGCCAGTGGGAAGTGTCATGTGTGAGGAATTCTGATAGATGAGGGTTTGAAAACAGACCCTACTACTTCCCAGGGTCTCCTTTGTTGGTAGGTTTACTGGGTTCTGGGAAACAGTCGCATTAGAGTGGAAAACAGGAAATTGTGGTGATTATTGTCAGTGGTTTTGCAAAATAGGGAAGATACTTTTTCATTAGCACCCAAGAAATCACTGTAAGCACCTGCCCCCCTGTCCTGGGTCTGTGGGAGGGGGAGCTGGCATGGTGGGCACCTGGGGCATGGAAAGGCTTGGTGGTGACTTGTGTCTCCTCCTTGCCTGTGAAATCCCCACCTGCTCCCTGCGCTTTTGTAGTAAAGCTCTGCAAGTCCAGGCCAGGCTGGCCCTGGATGGGGTGTTGCTTTGGGCATCTTGTAAGGAGAGGGCCTTGAATGCCTCAGTGGGCAGAGCACGTGGCAAACGTGGCTCTGACGTGGCAGGAGGCTCCTTGAGGGTCCCTGGGGGGCCGGGGGTGTTTTGCCACTGCTCCAGAGCAGTGTGATCAGGGGGCTCAGGTTACCCGAAGAGCACATTCCTAGTGGAATTAATAAATGCTGACAGATCAACTGTGGAGCTGGACTTTTCAGTTACATTCTGGGGTTTGAAGGAAGTATGTTTAAGGCTGTTCTGTTTATTTTACTGTTCTTTCCGCCCTGTCCCTAATTTTTCAATTCCACTTGCTTTTTTTTTTTTTTGGGAAAAGCCTTGTGAAGCAGCTCAGTGTCCCCTCATAGGCGGGAGCCGTGGTAATGCCTCTCCACACTCCAGAACTCTCTTGGCTTTTGTTCTGGGCCTGGGACAGGAGTGTCCTGCTGCCAGGGCTGGGGCAGATCCTGCAGGCTGGCCCCGAGGCTCTGCCCGGAGCGCTGTGCGCCCCGAGGAAGCGGTGCTGTGCGCGGGAGCGGCTGATGCGTGGTCATGTACCCTGTGTGCTGCACAAAGAGCCACCTCAGCAGCTCCTGCAGGGCTGCAGTCCCAGCTCGGGGTGCCACCTCAGCAGCTCCTGCAGGGCTGCAGTCCCAGCTCGGGGTGCCACCTCAGCAGCTCCTGCAGGGCTGCAGTCCCAGCTCGGGGTGCCTGAGCAGACCACAGGGGATCAGCCCGTCCGGGGGCCTCTGGTAACAACAGGAACACAGCGGGAAAGAGCTGGGGATGAATGAATGAATGATTGACAAAGGGAAGGCAGAGCTGGGGGCAGGAAGTCCTACAGGGCAAGTGTGTTTGGGGTTTGTTTTGACAGGAAATGGAGATGACTGACTGAGACACTCTGGGGGCTGGGGGGAACTGAAACAGCCCCTGTGTCCGGGTGTGTGTCCGGGTGTGCTGGCACTGCTGTCCCCAGCGGTGATGCTCACCTTGTCCCCCACGAGTGACAGCCCCACTCAGCACCTTCCTAGAGTTCCCTTTCTTTCGTCGTGGAACTGCAAGTAGAATAACCTCAGCCTCTGAGGTGCTTGATGGCAGGTGGGGATTTTCCACCCTTTCTCAGCACAGTCTGTTCATGCATCTTCCTCTTCATTCCTGCTGGGTTTTGTCTTTATGTAACAACAAGAAAAAGCGTCTTTACTTCAAGACTTCGTGTACATGCGTTTCTTGCTGTAACTGCTATTCTTTTCCTTACTGAAAATACCAAATTAAAAACTGTTGTGGAATTTTACTGGTGTCAGATTCCCTCTTAAAATAAAATTTGTGTTAGAAATATTAAGTAGCAACACGTAAAAGATTTATTTAAATATAAGAATTCTGTTATATGATGTACTTAGGTAACACTTGGTTTTGCTGTTGGTGCTGCATGTTTAGTTTTACCCACCTGTGCTCTGACATTGGCCATTCACTGTCCCTCCTGCAGTATCAGGATGCAGCGTGTTTATTTTAGCCCTGACAATCTACTTTCCTGATAGAAATGTGTTCTGGAATTAAAGTTAAAGCCCTTGTTAGCAGAGCCTGAACACAGTGTTGGTTTGGTGATGTCACTAAATACACAGGACTTGGATTTCCCGGCACTGGCCATAATCCTCTCCATACATTTGCCTTACAAAGCAAACAGACACACCTGAGTGTTTGCAGCCCAAACCCTTGCCACCCCCCTGCTTACCTGTATTTATCCAGCCTTTTCTTCCTTCCAGATGAAGCTGCAGAACAACATCTCGTATCAGATGGCGGACATACACCGGCTAAAGGGTGAGGGCTTCATGGCCAAACTCACTTGGCAGGCTGGAGCCGGGTACTTCAACTGCCCAGGGGCTGCAGAATGCAGTTTAAAGGAAGGATCAGGTGATGCTGGAACATCCCATAATGTGCAGTCTCAGTGTATTGTTCGTTCCTGGGGTGGGTAAGTGTAGGGTTGGCTCTTGTGGACGTTGCTGTCTGCAGGAGGAGCGTGTGCTCGGGCACCGCTGACCTCCAAGCTTTTAGAGTCGTTTTCATGGCCAAGTACACAAGTTAGTATAGTTTGGTCAGAAACACTGTGGTGGCTATGCTGGGTTAGAAAAGCTCCAGAAAACATCTCTTCAGGCTGATCTGTACAGACATGATTATAATGCCTGTGGTCTTACCGTGTCTGGAATATTGCAGAGGGAGCTGGAGCAGCCAGTGCCCAAACGTGAACGTGCCTGCACACAACACCACACGTGGTTTCTGCCTGTATCTGTGCAGCTGCAGCTTAAAACAGCAGAAAGCTTAATTACTTGTAGCCTGAGGAGCAGGGAGAACTTCCAGACCAGTTGTGGAGACAGGAAATACGTGTTGATTTGATGGATAGCGGGAAGTGCCTCCTTTTGTACAGTCACTACAGGCAGTATCTGAGCGTTGTGCCTGAAGTAACCTGGTAGTGCTTTTGTGTTACTCAGGGTCACAGAATCTTTCAGGAAATTGCATTTCCTGACAGACAGTGAAATTGCATTTAGAAGCCTTACGCAATGCTAAGGTAAAGAAAAATTTACGGGGTTTGCTGTAGCACCAGAAGAATTTCTCCAATTTGTGCTGCCATCTGGCACTCATCTTTACATGAGAGAAATGGCATCTTCTTCAAATTAGTTTAAGAATCTTTAGATGAACTAGCATAAAACCCAAGCAGCTTTTTACTTATTTAGCAATACTGAAAGTTGTATCTGGCACAGGGCATTTTTAGTTTTATTTCTCAGTTTCACAGTGGTGTTTCCTTTCTGGCCTAGAACAACTGGCAGAGTTACGGCAGGAATTCATCCGCCAGGAGGATCAGCTGCACGAGTACAAGAAGAACAACACCTACCTTACAAGGAGGCTGGAATACGACAGGTATGTCCTCAGGAGTGCTGGTAACTGCAGGTTTGTGCATGTGATCGGGGTCTGTGCTTACTAAAAAGTGCTGGTTAATCCTGTGTCTGCTAATCCTCCAGCCTGAGGGTGCTCACTTGGCGATGCACGCTGTTAGCCATTTGACTTTCAGGCTCTGTTTCTTGGTGGTGTCCTACTACCTCAAAGGGAGATAGGAGTTAGGGGGAGTCTTGACTTACTCTGGAATTGTTCAGCAGTTTTAAGTCAATGCATTTTTTATGGCATGGAGATTTAGTTAACAAACACACGGCAGAGTTTAATGGACACAGTCCTATGTCATTGGTGTTGGTCATTGCTGCCTTTCTAACAGTATCATTTCATTTGTTTTGATTGAAGCTGAAGGCAGCATTGTGTGGATTGAAATTTTAAGCTGACCTCAGCCTTTTAGGTTGACGATGGAGAAAGAGGAACAAACTACTCCTGCAGCTTTGAGGAGTGAGGGAGGTTTAACACTTGAGAAAGTGTTTGAAGCTTTCACACACACAGAATGTTCTTTCTGTGCTGTTGAGGGTTTGTGGGAGATGGGAATTCTGCTGCTCAGGCTGATGTCTGTGGCTTGTTAGGGAAGTTGGGACACGTGGCTGTGTATTCAGATCGTGTTATTTGAGTTGGGAGCAGTAACTGATAGTGGTAGTTGTGTACCTTCTCTGTTGACAGCCATGAAAGACATGTTGCTTTCCCGGTAGAATTAATATTTACTGACAGATTAACTGTAAAGCTTGACTTTTTGGTTGCATTCCAGCTTTTGGAGGAAATATATTCAAGGCCATTTTGTTTATTTTACTGTTTTTTTCTGCTCTGTCCCTATTTTTTCCAGTTCTGCTTTCTTTCTGTATTCAGTCCATTCCCACTCCATACACATGCCAGGACCAGGCTTTTTGGACAGACTATTCTAGTTGTCTCTCAGGTTTGGCTTTTTGTGCCACTTCATATTTTCCCCCTTATTTGGTTTGTGGGAGAGCAGATACAACAAATGACGTGTATCTAACGGTGTGTTTCTCCTCAAGCCTGCAGTGTGGGCAGCAGATCAAGGAAATGAGGCTGCAGCATGAAGAGAACATCAAGAAATTAATGGACCAAATTGCACGGGAGCAAAAGGTAACGGCAGGGAATTTTGTGTTGAGTGAGAAGAGCCCAGAGTCTGCTGTTTGCCTCAGAGGAGTGGAGGCCTGGGACATTTCTCTCCTAACCTTGTGTTAAACATCCCCCTGAGCAGCCCTAAATGGGTGTTAATGTAGGAAATCTGCCCGTTTGCTCAGCCAGTGGACTGAGCTGGAAGATGAGGCCAAATTCTTTGCTTTGCTCCAACCCTCCTCCATGACATCATTGCTGAGGATTTCAGTTCTTGCTGTAACGTGGCTATTGCTGTTCAGCTCTCCAGGGTGGGATCTGTGTTCTCACAGCCTTGCCCAGGTTACTGCACAGGGAACTGAGCTCTGCTGAGGCCTCCAGGTGCTAATGTGATGGAAATAAGGGTGTTGGAATGGTATCAAGGCTGTGATTACAAGATGCTGCCAGTAGAATTTGGGCCTCTGTCCTGCAAACCGATGAAATAACCTGCTTTGCTTAAAATTCCATTTTCTTACTTGGTCTTCCTATAAACATTTCAAATAATAAGGCAGACCGAGAGCAGATTTCCAACAGATCTTTTCTTACAGTCTCGAATTCCTCCAGGGATCTGACCTGAGGCTTAAGGCCAACCACACCTTA